GAATGCCGTGATCTGCATTTCACTGTAGAATAATCATTTTGACAGCTACTTTGAGAAAAGATTGTTAGAAGAAAAAGTAGACTCAGGAACACCTATTAGGGAAAACTTGTAGAAATCCAGAGGACCGTGGCTTGGCCCTGATGGTAAAAGTGGAGGTGGGACTAGGTGTCAGAATCTATCTACTTTGAAAGTTGAGTCAACAGTATTTCCTATCAGATTGGACAAGGGAGGAAAAAGTGAGGTTATGGAACAAAAACATCTATTCTTTCCATAGCCTACACTCTGAAATCTTGCTGGTTTCAGAGCATCTAACAAGGGCCCAAATATTTATATATATATTTAACAGAAATATGTATAAAACAAAAAACGACATAGGAAACCCTACGTTGTATTTTTGGTACTAAAATCAATATTTGAACTGTGTTATGTTTTGTCTACTAGAAGGTTTTTTTTTGTTTTTTGGTTTTAGGTTTTTTTTGTGTGTGTGTGGTACGCGGGCCTCTTACTGTTATGGCCTCTCCCATTGCAGAGCACGCGCAGGCTCAGCGGCTATGGCTCACGGGCCCAGCCGCTCCACGGCACGTGGGATCTACCCAGACAGGGGCACGAACTCATATCCCCTGCATCGGCAAGCAGACTCCCAACCACTGGGCCACCTGGGAAGCCCTACTAGAAGGTTTTATACCCCCTAAGAAATGTACCATAGTAAAATCTAGGAAAGGCAAGGAGTTTGCCTTTCTTTTGTCAAGAGTAAGAAGGACTGATACTAAGGAAGATGTGGGAAAGGGGATCTGTATGATACTAGGAAAGAGTACTACAGAAATTAAATGCTACAGAAATTGATTTCCTTAAAGCCATTAGTGTCCGTGTACCCCTGGGAAGTCAGATACATAGGTACTCTGCTTGACGTCCAGTGGACTGGTGACTTTTGTGCCTGGGATAAGACTGTTAGTGATGACTTAGGAAGGCAACAATTGAATGTACGTATTTCAAGACTGACCTCAGGGGTAAAAGATCACCATATAAAATATATATATTTATTCACATATTAGTTTCTGTAGACCATTCTGTTCCAAGACAAATCCTCAATATAATAAAATCATTTAGGAAAAACCAACTACTGCTAGCTTGCACTCAGCAAGTGATCATGGATCTTAATATTGTATTCTCCCAGAAACCAAAAAAAGAAAAATGATCTCAGAAAGGCCTGCTGTTTTGGCAAGCAGTGAAGTGCAATCATATTTCCATATATTGAGTAGCAGGTGGTATTTTATAAATGGCTAAGGCTGGTAGCATTCCAAGAGGCATTAGAAATATTAGTTGGTAGTGCATTACAGCTCAGCAATTCTGCACATAACCAAGAGTTGGGCAGCATCCACAGAGAGTATTTATTATGTAGTCAGGCACTTAAGAATATGTTTCTGGAAGCAAAATAAGATGATAATAAGGGAAATTATGTAATGAGTGGTGCCAAAATATGTATAAAGGAAAACTATTCATTGGGAAAAACAAACGCATCTGGGCATGGAAGACATTTTTTAACAATTTGTCTACCTATAGAAAGTAGCCCCTGTTCAGATTTTAAGAAAAACAAAATGCTACTAGCAGAGGCCATAAAAGTACAAGAGTCTAGTTGATATTTGGCCATGTTTTTGTTCAAATCCCTCATTTTGGAATTAGGTTATACTGTACCTACACATACACATACACATACACATATATATATGTGTGTGTGTGTGTGTGTTTGTGTGTGTGTGTGTGTATACATACATATGTAAAAAAAAAAGATTGACCTCAGGATGGTAAGTGGAAAAATAGATAAAAGGGATGAGAAAATGTATTTGTTATGATTCACTGTGTCTGTCCAACTTTTAGTGAGAAACACGAAGCCAGTCTCATATGTTCTGTATGTTACCTGCCCAAAAGAATGGATTGGATTTGGAAGTAAGTGTTTTTATTTTTCTGAAGACACAAGGAATTGGACATTCAGCCAGGCATTCTGTACCTCATTAGAAGCTGTTCTTGGTCAGTTTGAAACCGAGGAGGAGCTGGTAAGAAATATTTTTGGATCGTGTTCTTTGTTGAATACTTAGCACCCTGAGAAACATATAGGCTGCATAGGGTGAAAGCTGAAAGATAAGGAAGGACCCCATTCCAGGCAGACTTGGGGTCATGGGATGCATATTAGTGTCTAATATTTGTTTGGGGTCTATTCTCTGCCTGGAACCCTGTGAGACAATTTAGATGCATTCTCTCACGTAATACTCATAGTTAACCTTCAATTAGATGTATTGTTCCCATTGTACAAAGAAATATGGTAATCATGTAACTTATCATCCAAATTGGGACATTTTGGGAAGTGAAAGTGAGAATATTAATATTATGCTGGAACCACAGGCATAACCTGGGACTTTCCCAAATTGGGATGTATGGTCACTTTAATGTAATTTAGGATTAGAGATATTTGAGTGACTTAAGCTGAGAAGCGGGGACTAGTCTCCCTCCAAAGTCTAAGCTTTTCAATTATACCAGGCTGCCACCCAAAGAGAGAAGGCTGGAGGGAAGAGAGACTCAAGAGTAATATGAAAGAGACACGTGTTTTTACTTTCTGTGTTTTATAATAGAACTTCCTGAAAAGATATAAAGGCCCTTCTGACCATTGGATTGGCCTTAGAAGAGAATCATCACATCAGGTTTGGAAATGGACAGACAGCACTGAATACAATGCCTCGTACGTTTTTAGTCTTCCTTCTATTGTGTTTACACGTGGTTATGTGTGTGAGTTGTGTTTATGGGAAAATAAATTTAATAGCATGGAAGGCTTACTGCTCTATGAGGTACAAAATAGAAATCCTTTGTATGCTCTTCCACTTATTAGCTGTGCCTTCGGAAAAACTTATTGTGATTTCAATTGAAATCTTTAGCATGATGATGACATTTGACGTAGTTTTTCCACTTTCATCCACTGACTTAAACTGTGCTGAAATCCCTATTTAGAATGTAGAGAGAACAGCTGATGCACAGCAGGGGTCTTACAATCCTAAAAAGCCACTGAAGCATTGATATCCACAGACCCTCAGTCCACTCTCCCAGCGGCTGCGTCCATTCACAAAAGGGAGGTCGTCAGGGAACCAATGGGAATCCCCCCTAAATTATCTCTGGAAGGAACTTAGGAACATACCTTGGATTGTGAACACTTCAGTGGGGGTATTTTGAATTTAAGCATTACATTGGAGCAGATAAAATATAAGGGCCCAATCACTTCCATCAATCAAAGCTAAGCCATTTTAAGAATTTACTATTAAGTAAATAGTTTTATTTTCACACTTGTATGAAACAGGTCAGGAGAACACTGAAAATAATCTTCACTGAAGGCCACTGACAATGGAAGTAATCAATAAACAATCAATAATAAGAATAGAAAAGAGTTTATTTGAGCCAAGCTGAGGAGTAGCCTGGAAGCCTGCTTAGCAGATTACTCTGAGAAACTGCTCCAGAGAAGCAGCATTTCCAGCAGAGTTTTATATTTTATATTTAATATCTTGTCAGAACAGAGAACATTAAACAAGTCAGGGTTACATTTCTTCAAGGTTTCAAATTAAAAATAAATAAATAAATAAATAAAAGACCAGCATGTACACAGCCGGCCGGTATGGCCTTGGCCCCTGGGAAGGGAGTCTTATCATTGAAGGAGGACCAGCATTGGTGTCCCAAGAAGAGGGGCATTTAATCTTTATTTTTAACATGGTCATTCTTTACTTCTGGTCAACGTGCCCTTTTCTTTAATAATTAAAGCGGATGTACAAATGTATGTTTGATAGGCCACAAGCAGGCTATTTTAGCATAAAATTCAAGTTAACTCATGTATAAGCCAGAATGACTTCCCTATATCTCAAAATGTGATAATTTCTCTTATCACCGCTGATGGCAGCAGTTCACTTGGCTACAACAGCAAGCACTAGTTAAATACCTGATAAACAACATAACTGGATTTGGTATGGATGATGATAATCTTCTGATATTCAAGCAGGGACTTTGAGAATAATAAAGGAACGAAATACAGACATGGTATATATTTACGAAGAAGCCATATGAATGACAGATTTTCACTTTTCTCTTGTTCATATTAAAAATTCCTGGAGTAGGGGTGCTGAACAATACAGAGGAGGAATGAATGTAGATGTCTGTCCAACCTATGCTTTTTTAATATTTTTTGTGTTTGGTTTTAGGTTTGTTATCAAAGGAGTTGGGGAATGTGCCTACCTGAATGACATTGGACTTAGTAGTGCCAGGAGCTACACAGATAGAAACTGGATTTGCAGCAAGACAAATAATAATGTCACCTTGGAGTTAAATACTTTAAGGACTTTTTAAGGAATTTCACGCACCATCTCCAAGAGATGCATTATAAATTGCTATATACAGTTGCTGCTGTATTTCTCGGCCTGCCAAAAATATCACCAATGTGCATTTATAATACTTGTTAACAGCAAAGCGGCAAGCTATCCTTGAATGATGTAATATAGGGATTTGGAAGAGCATGATTCTAAATTAAGTAGGTGTTAAGTAATATGAGTTGATATTTATATTTTGAACCCATTAAATATGAACAAATTCCTCTTTTTCTATACAGACAGCCTTGTATTTGTACACATGGGACCATAAAAATGACTATGATAGCTGAAACCATGCAAAATGATTTTAATAACCAATGAGAAAAGATACAATTGGTTGACAGATTAAAAATTCTCTTACTGTCAGTTGAAAATATATAGGGAAATTTTAAAAAGTACTAAGACTAGGGACTTCCCTGGTGGTCCAGTGGCTAAGACTCTATGCTCCCAATGCAGGGGGCCTGGGTTTGATCCCTGGTCAGGGAACTAGATCCCACATGCCGCAACTAAAGATTCCTCATGCCACAACTAAAGATTCTGCATGCCTCAACAAAGTTTGAAGATCCCAAGTGCCACAACTAAGACCTGGCACAGCCAAAAAAAAAAAAAAGTACTAAAACTAATATTTATTTTAGACTCTGTATTTTAAAACATTAGAAACACTGAAAAAGTGCTTTTTACACTTTAATTCTTAGTGTTTATGTTTTAAATTACTGTGTGCTAAATAAATATTATACCTATAAACAAATACCAATCTTTTGTTTACCCTTTATTGGATTTTAAAAATCCTGTTTTTATCCCAATTAAATCACAAATAGTTAGTTACTTCTACTCATTAGGCATTCAATACCCAACTTCAGAACTGTTTATATACGATTGAGTTTTAGAAACAAAATGTTTTAAATTTTTACTGCATTAGCTACACTGTACTGATGAGTCCCAAAAAGGATGAAATAGCAATCTATAATGCATCCTCTCTCTTTATGTACTTCCATTTCTCCCATCTCATTGGTGTATTTGTCAGCTACTTTTTTTCTTTTAATTTTTTTTGGAGTATAGTTGATTTACAATGTTGTGTTAGTTTCGGGTGTACAGCAAAGTGAATCAGTTATACATACACATACACTTTCCCCATATAGGCCATTACAGAGTACTGAGTAGGGTTCTCTGTGCTTTACAGTAGGTCCTTATTAGTTATCAATTTTATATATAGTAGTGTGTATATGTCAATCCCAATCTTCCAATTTATCCCTCCCCACCCCGTTACCACCTGTTAACCATAAGTTTGTCTCTGTTTTGTAGATAAGTTCATTTGTACACTTTTTTTAGATTCCACATGTAAGCGATATTGTATGATATTTGTCTTTCTTGTCAGTTTCCTCTTGTAATTCTATGCAGTTTTGTATATACTTAATTTTGTGTATATTTGTATATATTATATATATTATTATATATACTTGAGATTATGTATGGATGCTTTTTGGCTTACAGTTCATTTTTTTTTTATAAATTAATTTTATTTTATTTTTTTGTCTGTGTTGGATCTTCGTTGCTGTGGTTGGGTTTTCTCTAGTCTCGGCAAGTGGGCTCAGTAGTTGTGGCTCACGGGCTCAGTAGTTGTGGCTCACAGGCTTAGTTGCTCCACAGCATGTGGGATCCTCCCAGACCAGAGCTCGAACCCGTGTTCCCTGCATTGGCAGGCGGATTCTTAACCACTGGGCCACCAGGGAAGTCCCGGCTTACAGTTTATTTTATCTCAGGTTTTCTAAGAAGCAGGGACTATGTCTAGTTCACTTCTGTGTCCTCGGAGACTAGTATTGGGTTGGCCAAAAAGTTCATTCAGGTTTTGTGAGATGGAAAAACCCGAACGAACTTTTTGGCCAACCCAATACAATGCCTCAAGTACAGCATATGTTCTAAATATGCCTGTGGATATATCTTCATGACTATGAGATCCTGCCCTATTTGCTTACCTTTGCTTTGTTTCTGCTAACTTTCTCATAAAGAAAGTTAAATTTCCACAGAAATCTGGAAAGTAAAAAAAAAAAAAGAGAGATTTTATATTGATAAACTTACAAATGAAAGTTTGTTAGTGTGACTAACTTACAAATGAAATTTAAGTTAAACTGTGACCCTAACTGACCTAGTATTTTTTACAAACTATTTTCCAAGCCATGTATCTAAAGCATGAATTCTGTTTCTTAGCTGTGACCTTTATAAATTACACAGCCCCTCAAAGCAGAGTTTCTTCCCATGGAAAATAAATATAAGAGTAGAGTTCCCTTTGCTAAATGGGAAGGAAACCTAAAAAAAAGAGGATATAAGTATAACTGATTCATTTTACTGTACAGCAGAAACTAAGACAGCATTGTAAAGAAACTATACTCCAATAAAAATTAATTAAAAAAAGAAAACATGTTGAAATCAAACCTTTAATGGATATGAAACTATATCAAACTCACTTGGGAGCATGCAGACAAAGCAGTCTCAGAACTTTCACAGTTCCTGACAAAATTGTCAATCTTGGATGGGGAGGGGTACAAGTAAGTCTAAATAATATTAAGAAGGATATTCTGTACAAATTGAGATGACTTTCTGACATAAAAGAACTTTTTCTTCTAAATGCTAATGTTTCTATATTTCATAGACCTTAACTCTAGTTTCAATCTGAAATAAAATCACACTTCAACCAGAAAAAAAATTTATATATGTGTGTGTGTGTGTATGACTACCAGTTTCACTGGCTAGTTTTAAGATTCAAATGAGGTAACAGATGAAAGTCTCTTGTCACTATATCTGACTTAGTAAATATTTAATAAATAGTTTTTCTTTCATTATTACTCTATGGAAATAAAAGTAAAAATAACAGCAAATATTCTGCTACCAGTGTGAGAACGTTTAAGTGATGATAAATCCATTGTCACTTTCCGGCTGCCACCAGCAGGAAGTCAGTGAGCTGTATAAATCAATTTCCAGTGCTTCTGTAGAAATCACTACTGGTTGAATTAATCATTCAAAGCTCATGAGGAAAACATTTCTTCACAGGAACAAGCCTGCAAAAGTACCTAGAGAAACATCTACATAATTTGGGACTTACCCATTCTTCCCCTTTAAACTCATTCTGATTCATTCTTTATATTGTAACCAGATGGATTATTCTAATGCAAAGTGTGATCGGGTCACTCCTTTAAATAAAATCTTTTAAAGACTTCTCCTTTACTCTCAGTGTACCACCCAAACTCCTAATGCTAATCAGGGTCATATAATATAATTGTGTCACTGCCTCTCCAAAGTATAAAAAACAAAACAAAAGCCTCCTAGAATTAATGAGTCCAGAAAGGTTGCAGGATACCAGTTCAAGACACAAAACTTAATCACTTTTTATATACTAACAATTAAGAAGTGGAAACAAATGAGAAACACAATAGCACCTATCATTCCAAAGAAAGTAAAATATTTATGTACAAAATTAAAACACATTCAGGAAATGAATGCTGAAATTTTAAAACGCTGATAAAAAAATGAAAGAAAACTGGATAAATGGAGGTACAGACTGTGTTTGTGGATTTGAAGACTTAACATATTAAAAATATCAGTTCTTCCCAAAGTGATCTATAGGTTTAATGCAATTTATGTCAAAATCCAGCAGGATTTTCATAGAAATAGACTATAGAAAAACTTATTCCAGAATTCAAATGGAAAGACATAGGCCCTAGAATAACAAAACAATCTCGAAAAAAAACAAATTGGAGGGAATCATTTTATATGATGTTAAGGTTTACTACATTGCTAAGGTCATTAAACAATGTTGGCAGAGTGCTGGACACATAGATTAATACAAAAGAACAGAGAACCCATAAATAGACCCACATAAATATGACCAACTGAATTTTCACAAGGGTACCAAAGCAATTCAGTAAGTAAATGATGCTGAAGAACTTGGACATCCTCTGGCAAAAAATGAACTTTGACCTAAACCTTACATCTGAAACCAATATTAGCCCCAAAGGAACTCTAGGCATAAATCTAAAACATAAAACTAGAAAGATTTTAGAAAAAAATATAGGAGAAACATTTTTGGATATAGAGAAAGGCAAAATATTCTTAGACCTGACATCAAAAGCGTGATTCATAAAAGAAAAAATTAATAAACTACACCTCATCAAAATTAAATACTTTTTTGTTTGCCTAATACCCTGGGAAGACAATGAAAAGACAAGCTTGAAAATGGGAGAAGGGTTGGCACATAAGTTGTCTGACAAAGGACTAGTATCTAGAATACAGAAAACTCTCCAAACTCAATAATAAAAAATCCAACTAGAAAATAGATAACTTTTTTTAAAAAAGATTTTCTTTTAGGTAAATTTCAGGTTTACAGTGAAATTGAGAGGACAGGTCAGAGACATTGCGTATACCCCCTAACCAGATACATACATAGCTCCCGCATTATCAATAATAATATTGATATTATTATTTTTTTAAAAAATTTATTTTTATTTTTATTTTTGCAGTAGGCGAGCCTCTCACTGTGTGACCTCTCCCCTTGCGGAGCACAGGCTCCCGACACGCAGGCTCAGCAGCCATGGCTTACGGGCCCAGCCGCTCCGCGGCATGTGGGATCTTCCCAGACCGGGGCACGAACCCATGTCCGCTGCATCGGCAGGCGGACTCTCAACCACTGCACCACCAGGGAAGCCCAATAATATTGATATTACTATCACCAGGGATGAACCTACATTGACACATTATAATCACCCAAAGTCTACAGTTTACTTAAGTGTTTATTCTTGGTGTTATGCATTCTATGGGTTTGGACAAAAGTATATTGACATACATGCACAGTTACAATTTCACTGCCCTCAAAATCCTTTTGCTTTGTCAATTTATCTTCCTCCATTCCCTGACCCCTGTAACCACTGGTCTTTTTATTGTCTCCATAGTTTTACCTCTTCCAGAATATCATACGACTGGCATCATACA